TGCCACTGTTTGCTATACTTACTCAAAATGGATAAAAAGAGTTTGAGTAGATTTTAACTTTAACCATATTCTTTTAAGTGTTATGCAATATTATATTGTACAGTTGATCGGAGAATTAAGCTTAGAGTGGATTAATGTAGTATTCTGATTATGAGAAATAATACTTCCACTTATGTAAATAATACTCCCAAGATTCTAATCTTACCAGAACACATTTAGATATTACGTCATGCCCTGGAACTTGAGGAACATTAACAGACTGCAGTATGTATAGGCAAGGACAACTAAATGGGGGCAATTCTAGAACTGCAGGGGGGGCAAAGTAATCAACAGAACTGAGGATATTGGGTCCATAGAAAGCTCTTATGTTCCATAGAGTAAAGACTCTTAGTCCAGAGAGCAGAACAGGGAAGCCAGTGGGGAAGTCGTAGGAAAATGATTCTTTCTTAACCAAAAAATCTAAAACTAGAACCACTTATAAAAAAAAGGGGGGGGGGGGAATAGTGATGAACTTTCCATAATTGAAGGTATTTAAGCAACATCTAGTTGCCTGTTTAGTATATTTAAGAAGATATTTCTGAAAAGAGTAGAATGTTAAACTAGACAATTACTAAAGTCTCTTCTAAATTTTTCCTTTTGCCTTTTTCAAAATACCTTTTTCTGACAAAATCTTACTGATAAGTAGACTTCTTTGGCCTTTTTTAAAGATTTGCTGAAGTTTATTGACATTTAGTGTTTACTTTCACATTTCTTTTTATAGGAAAACTCGACATGTAAATATTCTACTCTTCATGGGCTATTCAACAAAGCCACAACTGGCTATTGTTACCCAGTGGTGTGAGGGCTCCAGCTTATATCACCATCTCCACATCATTGAGACCAAATTTGAGATGATCAAACTTATAGATATTGCACGGCAGACTGCACAGGGCATGGAGTAAGTTCCATTCTGTTAAATCTCTTGTAAATTACTTTTGAAGACCATTGAGGGTGTTTTAAAGATTTCAGCTGATAATCTTTTGGATTGTTTTTTAAATTACTGTCTAACAACATATAGACACTTTTAACTAATGGCTTGCAATATGATACTAAGAAATAAAATAGTCTGTTTTACAGTCTTCAAAACATACAAAGTATTTAATAATAAATATTGACTGCAAATTTATGTTTTGCATGCAGTGATTTAGCTAAGCAATAATGGTTCAGAAAATAAAAAGGTGAGCAAAAGACCACTAAAATCATTAGCAGTTATAGAAGAATATAAAATAATTGTTAGTTATTCTTTCAAATTATTTTCTCCAAGTTCCCATATTTTCATTTGCATACAATAAAGTAAAATGAAAATCTATATTCTGGTCCTTTGTGAGGATTTCAAGTTGAGTTGTTCATATCCACTGAATTATGCTCTGTAATTTAAAAGATAAAAGTAACTTTATAAAATTTACCATAGGCCAGAATTTGAATCTGTTCAAATCTGAAAGGTTATATTAAAATTTTTTAAGAGTAAATCATAGCAAATATAGTAAACATTGTGAGAGAGACAAAGCTTACTCCCCACCCCCCCACTTTCACCCCCCTGCTCCAAGCACATGCCCTCCTCAGGGCCTTTGTACTTGTTATTTTCTCTTTGGTATACTCATGCCACAAATATCCATGGAGCTTTCTCCCCATGTCTCTCTTCAAATGTCGCCTTTTAATAAAAGCCTTCTCTGATCACCTTACATCAGCGATTTTCAACCAGTGAGCCGATTTTCAACCAGTGAGCTGCAAGAGATTTAAAACATGCAATACGAAAACATGCACTGACCTCTTTTCCTTTAGATTGTCAAGTAAAAAAAGTTCAGCCAACACAATAGCATTCAGTGTGAATAAATCAAAGTTATACCTTTGTTTTTGTCAGATTGCAAAAAATATATTTTTTGGTGTGCTGAGAATTTTTAGTAATTAGTTTATGTGTGCCATAAGATGAAAACGGTTGAAAATCACTGCCTTATATAACTAACTAATATTCCTACCCCACCCTGTCACTCTCTGTACCCCTATCTTTGTTTTTGTATTTTTAACACCCAACTCCATATGACATATTTGTTTATTGTCTGACACTCCCACTAGAATAGAAGCTGTATGAGAGCAGGGGCTTTGTTTTGTTCATTGTTTTATCCCTAATGCCTAGAACAGGGCCTGGCCTATGATAGATACTCAGTATATATCTGTAAAATAAAAAATTAAAAAGGATTAACTGAGTATTATTGTTAAGGTCACCTTTTAGAAAAAAGAACCCAAATCCTTCTCATGCCAAAATTGAGAAATGTCAAGGAAAGGAAAAATAGTCCACAAAGTAATAAAAGGATATCAGAGGGGAAAAGGCTTTTGCTATAAACAGAGGCAGCAAAGAATAGTAATGAAAATTATTTTTAGAAACAGTGATGGGGCAGTCAAATGCCAGTATTGATTAAGACAAGAAATGACAGTAAAGAAGAACACTATCAAATTGGAATAGTTCTGTAGTCTGGGGAATAGTCGGTGAATGGAGCAATATTTTTCCATTGCTTTCAGTTTGGGATCTGTAAGTGTAAACCCTTGAAGTCTATTTATCTACTCTGAAATACTTTGCTGGCATTTTAAGTAGCAATCAATATATAATGAGTATACCTGGCTATAAATGTAGAACATGGCTCTATGTGTGGCGTTTACCAGAGGGGAATGGAGGTGGGGAGGAGGATGAGGACGGCAAAGGGGGTCAAATACAAGGTGATGGAAGGAGACTAGATATTGAATGGTGAGCACACAATAGAGTGTACAGATGTCATATTATAAAATCATACACCTGAAATTTATGTAATGTGATTAGCTATTGTTACCTCAATAAATTTAATTTTTTAAAAATTAATTAAAAAGAAAAAATCTCCATTTCCAGTGTATCCAAAAGAATAAAATACCTAGGAATAAGTTTTACCAAGGAGATAAAATATTGTACTCTAAAAAATATAAAACATTGCTGAAAGAAATTAAAGAAAACAGAAATGAAGTTTGGGATAAATAAAAAATTTTTGATAGATGGTGGTGGGTGCACAACATTGCGAGTGTACTTAATGTCACTGAATTGTACACGTAAAAATTGTTAAAATGGGAAGTTTTATGGCATATATATAGATATATACACATATATCTATATCTAGGTATAGATATAGATATAGTGTCCCAAAAAATGTATACACACACTTTGAATAATTATAAAGGAGAGTTTATTAATACATATTTCATTTTTAAAATTGAGCTATCAGCTGTTAAAGTGTGTATACATTTGAGGGGTGGTACCCTATAGTTTACCACAATGAAGTTAAAAACAGAATAAATAAAGTAGCTATGTGGGTTTCAGATAAGATGACAGATTTATGCTATCTTTTGAAACTCCACTGCAACTATAATAAAGGATTCTTTTTTAAGCATAAACATATAAGGTTGGAGATAACAGAGAAAGGAAATAATAGCAACAACATTTTATAAGCTAGAAAACAAATGGAGAAATAATCATGGACTTACTAAAAAAGCTAAATCATTAGTTGGCCATGAAGAAATGAACACTAACCTGATTTAACCACAGAATCCTCAAAAGTCTCAAGAATTGGCAGTGCCAGGTATTTCTGGACGAGGGAGAGGACATAAATGAAAAGGCCTATCTGGAAAACTTCTCAAAATCTCATCTGGGTGACTGTCCCATCCCTACCCTGGCAGTAGACTGAAAGTTTATTCTCTAGAGAGAGAAAAACAATTATCTCTGGACTGGGGATATGGAATGGGCACCTTATTAGAAATAGGGCTGACTCCTTACTGAACAATGAATGGGGAGTTCCTCAGCACTCTTTTCATTTGGTTCCCAGAATGCTAGCAGCTAAACTCTCCCCTTCACACAAAACATTGGAAGAGTCTTCTGTGAAGAATCTTACCAACAGAGAGGAAAGACCCAAAGGTGGTGACTTCAGGAAGTCCACCTAGATCCGTGGTCGGTAAACTGCGGCTTGCGCGGCTCTTTGGCCCCTTGAGTGTGGCTCTTCTTAAGCCTTAGGCGTACCCTAATTAAGTTAACAATGTACCTACCTATATAGTTTAAGTTTTAAAAATTTGGCTCTCAAAAGAAATTTCAATCGTTGTACTGTTGATTTTTGGCTCTGTTGACTAATGAGTTTGCTGACCACTGACCTAGATCACTGTACAGGGAAGTTCAAAAACAGCCTAACTATATGCTAAAGCTTTCAGACAGCTTTTTAGTCCTTCACTCAGTCTGAAATCATCTCTGCTCACCACAGACATCAGAGGGAAAGTCTCTGATACCCATGAGAAAGACCAAACCAATGGGGGAAAGGGGGAAGGCAACTAGGAATAAACAAACAATGCAAGGAAAGAAATACCCCTCCCCCAAAAAAACTGTCAGTTTTCTCAGCTATAAAAGGAGGTTTTTCTATCCATGAAACAAGAACAGATGCTTTAAAAGAAACTTTTGATAACAAAAGAAAAGTTTAAATGTTGATATTTATAATTATTTATTGTTGAAAGTATAACATATGTCCCCTTTCAAAACATATTTTATATTGGATTTTTAAAGTCATACAATCATTTATATGTAAAAGTATTTTTAAGTAAGGATTAGAAGGCACACACCAAGCTCAGTAGTGGTTGTCTCCAGGAATGGCACAAGGGGTCAAGTTGGAGGCAGCTGTCAAGCAGAAGTGTTTTAGCTTTACCTGTAACATTATGATTGTCTTTTAATAAAAATGATTCTACAGTTATGTTTTACTTTCATAACCTTTTTACAAGTATAAACTTAAAAAAAACCAGGAGGCAAATGTGTAAAGAAATTAACAGGATTGATTATGGTGAGACTGAGTGAACTCTACATTGTTTTTTGTTGCAGTTTTTCTTAATTTCAAAATAAAAGTTATTTTGAAAATGTGAACATAAGTAACCACCAGTAATCTACCATCAAGAGAGACTTACCATTAATATTTTTTGTGTATTGTGTATTATTTCACAATTCATTATTTTAATATTAAACACAATGGTTTGTTGTTGTTGTTGTTTTTAAATATGGAATCCTGCTGGTGTTGCCCTTTTTCACTAACTCTTATTTTAAACATCTTTACTGGTCAGTAAATACATGCTCTGACTCCAGCTCTGCTACATACTGATAACTCTCTCCCTCTTTTTTAAATACCAACTATGTTCTATGGTTTTTTTATATATTGTAATGTATTTAGCGATTATAGTACTTACTACATGCCAGACATTGCTCTGTGTACTTTATATATACAACCTCATTTAAACCTCAACAACCCTGTGAAATAGATCCTATTATTAGCCTCATTTTACTGATGAAGAAACTAGGGTATGGAAAGGTCAAGTAACTTGCCCCAGGCACTTATGTGTCAGAGTGCATTCCCTTAACCTTTTATGCCAATTTAGTAATAGGTTACTAAATAGGTTACTGTTTCTCCAATTTAGTCAGTCCTTTCAACAACCTTAAGTGGGCCCTTAATGTCTTACAGTGGAAAGTCATACTTTCCGTTCTATAGCTTCTTGTCTCCTAGACACTATCACTTCCTTTGACCTCCAACCTCTAACACCTGTTATCCAAGAACAGTCAGCTTGCCATTTCACTAAGAGAATTAGAAGCATCCACCACAACATTAATCTACCTACTACCTACATTCAAGCTCAGTTTTCTGTCTTATCACTAAGAGTAAAAGCCAGTCCTTCCAGTTTGTGTACTAGATCCCATCCCTTTTCCCTACTCACTGAGGTCTTTTAAGCAGATCTTCCCTGTTCACCATCAGGTTTGCCTTTTCTACTGGATTTTCTTCATTTTAAAACATTTTTCTTATAATACATATTTGGGAGAGTATTGACAATTGTTGAATCTAGGTGGAAGGCATCTGGTTG